GCGTATCAACAAAAACAAATGTTAATTTTTGGGATTACTTTTTTTGTATTTTTCCAGAAAAAACAATAACATTTAAAAATGAACGGTTCTGTACCAACTGAAAATTCTATTCGAAACAAATTCATTTCTATGAGCTCGAGCATTAGTTGACGAGATAATTGGAAGTCAAATGCGAAAAAAACTGCATTTTTCCATTTTTTTCTTGGTTTTTTTGTGTATATAGCAATATGTTCCGGGAGAATCCGGGCAGGGAACTACTTAGAATACACTTGGTTTCGTTGTGTGAAATGCCAACATCCAGTTTAGAATACTTTTGGAGCTAATTGGCTGGACTATGTTGACCCTATACATTGACATAAAATAAATAAAGTTCGTTAAGTGCTCCCTTCCCTAATCAAAAAATTTTGTGATGTTATTATCACAGATCATGCTATAATAAATATCACATATACATATAGGTAGGCAAGGCCGTGCGAGGGGGAGGGGCGAGAGGGGGCCCAGGCCCTGGACGCCAATTCTGGGGGGCGCTGAAGTGAAGTCGCCCGTCGTCGCCTTCGTCGGGAGCGTCAAAGGCGTGAGTGAAAGATTTACCTCGAATTATATAAACGAATCGGTAAATACTCTTGTTTCGTATTTGATAAATTCAGAATCAGTAAAAATTTAAAAATTAAAAACTGTCGCGTTTATAAAGTCGGTAATTCCATGGAGTTAGGAAATCAAACAAAAGCGCCTGCATTTGCCATGTTTGATTTCAAATTGCCATGGCACCACTGATTTTCTTAAAAGCGCAAGTTTTTAGTTATCCAATTTCTGGAATTCTAAGTTCAGAAAATTAAAAGCTATAGTATGCATGGATTCGTAATTTGTTTCCCTACAAAAAACCTAAATAGACTTTCTCTCTAAAATAATTACAGAAGTCAATAATCAGAAATGAAAAAATTACTATTGCAATTCCTATGGTGCGTTGTTCAAGTCACCACCCGGTATAATAATATATTTATTATGGAAAAACAAAAATTATGTTTATTATTCTAATAAAATCTCTCCTTGTCCAACCTCATAATTTTATATGTGGAGGCTAAATTTAGTTTCCGCCCTTGTATAACCAAATTCGCTCCATCAATTTTTTAAATGTTTAGAAAAGCGAAAAATGAGAATTAAAATGTATCCTCTTTCATGTAATTTATGATGTTATACAAGTGAGCGGTGAGCGCTTATCTTATCTACGTAAAGGCCGGCGTTGAAGCCGAGGAAGTAAGGTTTGAGTATATGTATTTTATTTTTACAAAAATGACTCCATCTATTACACACTTTTACCACACACAACAGTTTTCTGTGCGTCTACCACATTTTACAACAAATTAATTCGACTGCTTCAAGGTAGACAACACACTAACCGTACTCTATTAGGTGTTGCGTTTATTTCTACAGCATTGCATTGACCGTCTGTAGTATATGTTGTCTGTGCTATTGGTAAACCCTTTATATCCTATTTTTGTTGTGTAATTGCAATGTTCACAATTAAAGACTGGAAATATGCGTTAGACTACGTTTTCTTAAATTAATCCTTATTGTTGATTGCATCATTATATACTCATCACATTTAAAATTTTTTAAAGTAACGTAATAAAATCCTTGGTCTTTTTGAGGTGTAATTGCATTGATTGCAAATGAAATTTTTGCAAGTGTATGCGTTTACAGCCGTAAAAACTACGATATTTAGCCCTGCGATGTATCAGAAACGTCAAACTTAACGTGCAGGTTATCTCACAAAAAACGTTATTTTGCGTTATTTAGTGTGGGATAACGTTTTCTACAGATAACCTGCACGCTAGGTTTAACATTGATGGTATATCACAAGACCAATTGATTACTTTTGACCATTGTAAATAAACAAAATGGTCTTATCCCACCAATATTAATTTCAATGTGCTGCCACCAGAGGTCTCACTGTTAATCTGAATCGCGAATATCTATGGAATGTATATTATGATTTAAGGATCTGAGATTGAACATAATTCTGTAAAGAGAAGATGATTATTTGAAACCTGAGGATCGATTTTTTAAAATTTACGGCAACGATCTTCAAAAATACTAGATAAAAATATGCAAAAACAAAGGACCTCCACTTTCATGTTTTTCAGTTGAAAGCGCCATGTAACCGCCTTTAGGTCGCTTGGCTCAAGTTTCTTCACGTAGAGGAATCAAACGGGCGCATAACCTTTCGGAGGCACTTCTCCGAAGGTCGCCTGACCATAACTTTTACTGCCTCAAGAGCATATTGCCACAATTCTATATTCGCCTCTAGGCGGTAGAGGTGGGGCGAAGTTTTTGTAGGAACAGGAAGGGGGGGTGGAGGGCTCTGGATGCTAATACGATAAGAAAGTAAGATATATTCGAAAGTGGAAGCAGAAGCAGTAGGTTCTAATATTTGAAAAAGAAGGCAATCGCTCAACTGGTTCCCCCTCCCGCAAGGCGAGGGAGAGGGTACGATCATTCTTGTGAACCATAAGAAAAATCTGAAATGAAATCTCGACCCGGGTCGCACAATGGATTCGAATAAACACACAATTAATTGATTGACAATGACAGAAATTTATTACGAAATACATAAAAAAATTAAAAAATCCCTGAAAGAATCGCACAACACACGTTAAAGATCTTAAACCACTTTTGATAATGGTTAATTTGCTTCTGCACACATTTATTAAAAACGGCCCAAAATTTAGCGTAAAGAAAAAAAAAGTACACGCCATTCAACGCAAAGTTGACCAGATGTGTCTTAGTTAAAACATCTTAATTAAATTGAATAATTAACAAAAGTCATAAAATTTGAAAAAAACTACGCATTTACGTACAAACAATACTAAAAGGAAAAACAAATACGGAAATACAAATTCAAGTAAAATAAACCAACTCTGTGTTTATTCATAAGTACTCCTCCACCCCCAGATTTAATTAATATATTTTAAAATAACCTCACATTCAGGATGACCCGTCACTATTTTTGGTATTTAAACCGAAAGTTTAAATTGCGTTGATTTAAATCATAACAGAAAAAAGGATGTAAATTTTTCTATTTTAATGGATAACTAGATCGAAATGAAAATAAATGAAAAACCTTGATTATTTGAAGTATTTTGGTTATGGTCCATTATGTACTAAACTATGGTATCCAAAAGTTAGCTTCCAATCTACATACTTTAAATTTATTGTCAGTGGCGTACTTGTACGTGGTAAAAGGGGGCATATTTCTTTAAATGACAACTAACTAGTTTTCGTTACATACTATTAAAGAGAACAGTTTTTTGGATACACCAACCTAAAAAACTCATGATATCAAATTTAAGAGAATAACTCAAAACATAACCCCTGAAAAAACAACACCCTGTGTTGGAAATTAGGATTCTCACTACCATTCACATGATCAATGATGAAATATCTCTGTAATTGCCTGAAATATTTTGAAAGTTTCTAAAGCTCCATAAAATTTTTGAAAGCTCCGAAGCTTTATTCTCTTTGGAATACAAGTTCTCTACGGCTGAAGTTCTGAAATGTTTCAAATCCCTAACAGAAATAAAACGTTGGAACATTTCGCTCTTCTTCATAGATTATGTTGGTCTTTAACGCACGCGCAACGAGTTTAAAGGCACATTTTTCTAACAGATTTTCAGTGAATTAGAAGCCAAAAAACCTCTTTGCACATTTAATTTTTCTGATACAAAAGTTTTAACGAAAATAATGTGTTGGAACGGTTCTCTTCAGCATAGAAAAAAATACCTCTTCGTGGATTATGTTCTCCTGGTGGCCATTTTCGTAACAGTGTCTCGGTGAATCACGATCAGGAACGTGTATCATATGTCATTTTGGCATCATTGCAGTGAGGGACAAGGATAGTGTTATCGAATAATGACGCAAGTTAGTAAGCGAGGCATTTAGACCCCATATTGCATCTGGAGGATGACCCGCAGTATAGTTGGGTCCAATAGAAAAATATCTTTAAACAGCACCGCCGTATAATTAAAAAATTTATTGAGATTTCAAAGATTTTTTTCAGTTTGACCATATTTATCCATTTTTAACACCCGCACGTTAGTGGGGTAAAAGATGACCCTCCACTTTTTTGACGGAAGTACACGTTTTGAAGTACCAGGAATATGAATCAAACAAAATCTCGATGATGTCAGTCTGTGTAGTCTCATTTCCGGCTAAACCGATTGGAACTAAATTTGCGACACATATTCTTAGACATAAAAGGCAGAATCGCCCATGCGCAGAGTGCGGGTGGTATCTGTGCTGGCCACAGCAAATTTTTTTGTTTGTATTTTAATTAGGGTAGTAGGTATTCTTTTTAGTTTCTTTCATATATATTATACGATATAACATTCACTCTAAGCATAGGCGACTAAAAGACATGCTCAACCGTCAAACTCTTTTGGTAAGTGTCCTGACGCTCTAGTGCAAACGCCATCTTTTTACGAACGTTTTGTGCGAACTCGTCCTAGAATGTGGATGCTCCAGGAAAATTAATCAAAATCTCATTTTAAAAAAAGTAGGTATCAACAAAAACGCTGCTAACGATGGTTTATCTTGTTGAGAAAGGGCCTTGACTTTCGTGCATATAGTCATAATTATATTCTGCTAGTCATAGTGCTAGCTGGCCGTTTATAGTTCGCACTTTGACCTAAAGTGACATAAAAAAACGTAAAAATTATGTTGATAAGAAAAATAATTAATTTACTCTGTTGAAATGAGAGTTTGGCGTACGAATCATATCCATGACAATTTGACAATTCTTAAATTGGAGGAAATTAGGTTGAATGGCCGCATGTATATAGGAACAGAATAATACTAACCCTTCAAATTACACTAAGAAATAATCATTCATTCATCTCACGAAGTTGGGTGCGTACATTGTAATTGCAAAGGTACTGTAAACCCAAATTTGTTCTTTTGTGTCGTTATACAAACACCAAAATGACAACATTTTCTTTCTCCAGGACAAGGCCATGTTGGAAGGTGTGAAGCAGATGTTGAAAGACAACACGTGCCAACATGAACCGCGTCAGAAAAAAATAAAGCTCGAATAGATCTGCTACAGTATTCAGCGTTCTGGTTACATTTGTTTTGTTTATTATTTTTGTGTAGTATGTAAGTCCTAAAAACTTGACGTAAAATGTTAAGTGTAAGTGAAAACTATGGTTCATATTGAATACCATTTCAGATGGCGCCTGTACATGTTCATTCATTTTAGAATGCGTTATTGATCTCCACAGTATTTTAGAAATAGTTTAACGTTTTCTATTCGCCTTCTGGTCAGTGTTTGAAGTAGTTACATATTAGTTGCATTCTATTTTTTCAAATTAGTTAATATGCACACAACAGTATTTGCGGGTCCAATTCACTTACACTTGCTTTAAATGTGCTCTCTATTCAAGTGCAAGAAATAAGTGTATGTGATAGTTATTGTTTGCATATTAAATGTATTTTTATATACTTCTACATTTACATGATATTCTTACGCGTTCCATTAGTTATTAAGCATGTAAAGCTATATCTTTACTTGTTCCATTATTTGTTTTTGTGTTTATGCAATTAAAATGATTATATATCTCTCTACCTGTATCCTCGTGTGCCTATCCTCGCTGTCGATTGTTTCACTTTACAAGGGACATTCACACTTTTATCAAAAACTGGATTGATTTATTTGTGTGTTTAAAGTTTGATAAAAATCTAAGGTACAAAAGGCAACCTTAGCCAGAATCTTTAGATAAGACTGATGGTACAATGTACTCACCGATTAGGTCATGAATTCTGAGACTTTAAAGTAGAAGTGCAAAGGTCTCTTGATAAAAGATCTCCGAACACAACTTTCCTAATAGAAATCAGAAGCAAATGTTTTGTTATGAAGTGATGTGTGGTACGCAGTTTTGAAAGCATCAATGCGCGATACAAACATGTTTGGGACGTTGTTGGTTTTTTGTTTTATGATACTTTGCAGTCCCTTTCTTCTTTTAAATTACCTAGGTGAGTGAATTGTTTGAAATGTTGAAGGTTAGTTTTTGTTCGTAGGATTGTTTGTGTTCAATAGCCTGTGGTTGTGGTGCATTTCAATATTTAATGTGAAGTGTGATTTTTTACGGGATACCACGATTCGCTCTCTAGTTGATACACCTCGAAATCAAGGAATATTTACGGTGCTGTTGAACATCCAGGGACCTGCACAACCGGAAGCGGTTCGACGACATTTACAGGTAGGCTGTGATTACAAGGTTTAATGTTTGTACAGAGCTTGTGGATGCTGGTTTAACAACAATTGCATATTCAAAAATATTGCTGTGTCCAACCCATAATTTCTTAACCTGAGTAGATATTGGTACCATAATTCTTTGTCCTACCTTCAGCAGGTTGAACAGGTGTATATATTTAACCTTTTTCTTGTTTTGCATTAAACCTTCCATTCTCTATACTACACTTGACAAACATAAGAAAAAATGGCGAGTCCAGCAACAGAGACTTTGAGATCAATTTTTTTTTAATTTGTTGGGGGGGGGGGGGGGGCGCAAATACGCTCAGTGTACCTACACTTCCTAAATCCTCCATGCTCTAATCCTGTTGTACAACAGTGGCCATCTTAATCGCATAGGGACCCTAACCTGCTAAACCAAAATGACCAACACTGGTGTTATTTTCTATTGGTAGTTGAAACTAGCTTAATTCTCCCTCGATCACATAATACAAAGGGGTCCCCTATGCTAGAAATTCAAAATTGAACTCTGAAGAATTGATATTTAATACTGAATTGAAATAAAAAAAAACCTCTATAGATGGGTCGACACAGGATGAATTATACAGGGTGTTCATTTGAAAAAGGAAAAAACGCCGAGCACGTCAAAAGATTTGTCAAGGGGGGCAACTTTTTAACCAAAAACTACTTCACCCTCTGCCCTCCCTTAAAAACTTTAAATGACAAGTGGTAACGGGTAATAGCTTGTTTAAAAGGTCTTTCGAAGTCCTTTATTTTGACGTTTGTTTTTTTAAAATCGGTGGATTCGTTTTCGAGAAAATTACAAAAATCTTTATTTAATTTATTTAATCGAACTATCTTAATTTGTTCAGATAAAAAACAAACGAAAATATCACCTATTTATTGCTATTATAAAGAAAGAATTTAATTTGCTGTCAGTTAATATTTAACCTGAAAGTTTGGATGAACTTCGTCAAACGCATCATCAAAAGCGGCCACGAACTTATAAATTAAGATGGACTGCTAATGCTGAATTGACAAATGACACCTACATGGGGGCAGCCATGATGTGCACTCACTTGGCGCGAAATTCAAATCAACTAATAAACAAGCATTAACCTCACGTTTTCTAAATAAATTACTGTGACACATGTCATTTTCCAAGGCTGCAATAGTCTCACCACTTGAGCACTAGGAAAATTCCCCTAGAAAATAACTAAAAAGTGCACATCATGGCAGCGCCCATGCTAGGGCCATTTCTACCTCTATGCAATTGTTTGATCAGCAGTCCATCTTAATTTATAAGTTCGTGATGATACCCCACAACATGCTTTTGGAAATGACCGTCACGAATTTTTTTTATTGAGATTAATGTGTCGGCATATCAGAGGCCATTGACACAGATACAGTTGTGTATAAGTTTATAGGCTAATGGTAAATTACATTATATTTATGTTTGAGAGAGTAGAGCTATATCTAAACAGCTGAAGCAACGAATTTGAACATCGCCTATATCATTGTTTGCCCAATAACAGGCAATATTTGAAACACTTATTGAAATAAAAAGTTATATTTTCATTTGTTTTCTATCTGAACAAATTAAGAGGTCAATTAATTAAATTAAATAAAGATTTTTCTAATTTTCTGGAAAACGAATCGACCGATTTTTTTTAAATCATACGTCACAATAAAGGACTTCAAAAGACCTTTCAAACAAGCTATTATTCGATACTACTTGTCATTTAAAAGTTTTAAGGGAATGATCCTGGGGGGGCAGACGGTGAAAAGGGGTGAAGTAGTTTTTTTGTAAAAAGGTGTCCCCCTTGACAAATCTTTTGACGTGTGTCGGCGTTTTTTCCTTTAATCAGTGGTTTTCGATAAATCCGGGGTGGGAAGTTTTAAATGAACACTCTGTATACAATTTGATATAGCTTGTACTCAATTTCCTGTCTCGCAAATTAAATTTTATTTAAAATAACGCAGTTTTAATCTTTGTGGGTTAAAAACTTCCACTATTGTTCGTATTTCCCGTAATAGTACCTAAGTCGTAAATGACGTATAAATTATAACTCGTAATTTTAATAGTTTCCCGCGTTTGATTTTACATGTTTACATTATTCGAATTGCCACATCAATTCACCCTATGTCCAAGATAAGGATATCTATCATGGGGATCTTCTAAACTATAGTAGATAAGACGATGGTCGGATTAGAGAAAAGATGTGCAATTAAAGTGTGCTTTAAAGAAACCAGAAAATTCCGATTACTTCCGAAGATATGCCAGGAAAACCGATTTGGTTTTTATTTTTTCCTGAGGTTATTTGAACAGAAAAAAATATATCGCACTTTCTCATTACCACTTACAATGTTTCGTTTTGGAGAAATCATCAACTTTATTTTTTTATATGGCCCGTAAAAAAGTACATTGCACGGCACAAAAAAACAAAAGTTGGAAACTGGTGGTTTCAACAAGATGGTGCCCCCACGCACAACGCCCTAATTCGTACGAGAATACCTATCGACAAATTTCCTGGAGAATGGAAAATTTGTCCGAGAGGTAAACTCACACGATTAGGGCGTTGTGCGCGGGTGCACCATCCTGTTGAAACCAAAAATTTTCACACTTTTTTTTTTGTGTGCCATATATCGTTGTAGTCGAAATGCTACTCCATACAGGATGTACTTTTTTTATGGGTCACATAAAAAAATAAAGTTGATGAAGATTTCTCCGAAACGAAATGTTGTATTGAAAATCTCATAACCGGTGTGTTGTAGAGCTCAATAAGTGACAATGAGAAAGTGTGTTTTTATTTTTTTGTATCTGTTCAAGTAACATCACGAAAAATTGTCAAATTTCGGTTTTCCTGGCATAGCTTCGGAAGCAATCGGAATTTTCTGGTTTCCATTAAGGCATGATAATAACTCTTTAATTGCGCACCTTTTCTCTAATTTGACCAGCGTCGTATCTACTGTGGTTTCAGAGATCTCCATGATAGACTTGATAGCGCGCACAAATGGCATGAAAATGAATCAATAAGCGAAATCAAAATTAAAATTTAATTAAAAGAAAAATAAATACATTTACAAACGATTGGAATTCAATCACACCAGCAAGTAGCGGCAGTCGGCGGCAACCTGCATGTGCTGGCGGAACGGGCAGACTCGAGCGCCACAGAAGACTAAAGCCTTGCTTCTGGCCAAGGTCGGCGGTTTTGGAACGGTCGCGTAGGTTTGGCACAATCGGTAACCACGGGCAGTTCTTCAAAACGGCCTAGTCCAGAATTCGGTGGGAGAATTACAGCACACGGACACGGTAGCAATTGCCCTAACGGGAACGCAAGCAACAAAGCATAAGTTAATTAGCGGTAGCTACGGGAAATCAAATGCAGGAAAAGCAAGGAAAATACCCTCCTTATAATTAACGGAATGGAAAGTATCAAAGGCTTACCTTTAATTGAAACGGTGCGGTGTAATGATTTTTAAACAATATCCCAATGCTCTACGGTCTACGTAACACAACGAAAAATCCCTCCTAAATCATGCTGTTAGACATAAATGACACACCTCGGTTTATGTCGCTCTAGCAATAGCGAGCGAATGTGATCTGGGAATCTTCAGGGCCTGCCGGATATTTGGTTCCTTACGAACGTATCGATCCTGCTTGTTTGGCCCACCTTATCTGGCACAGTATTGACGTGTTTGGTAAATGACAATCTACGGTCTATGTTGATACCGAGGTATCGGATGCAGCCGGCCCATTCGATATCCTGCCAGGAGACGCGAAGCTTCTTTCGTCGGTGGATCTGTTTATTCGTGTACACGGTGGCCTGTGTTTCCGCGGGATTAAACCTGAGCCGCCGCAATTACTCCCCCATTGCATGGTGGCGTCGATGGATGCCTGCACCATTCCCAAACAGGGCCGGCTCAAAACAAAAGTTACATGTAAGCGAGCGCTAAAACTTGCGCCTCTCTAATGGGAACTTTTGGCAAGCATGTTTTAAAAAATACAGGGTGTTAATTAATGCCATGCATATATTTCAGGGGTTGATAGCACTCGTCACTCCGGCTTTATGGTTCAGTGGTAGAGCGTTGGACTATAAATCCGGAGGTCGGGTGTTCGAACCTGAGTTGAAGTGAATTTTTCATTTGTGGCAGAGATGGGAATTACCTTAGACCAGTTTCGAGCATTCTGCCGGCTACTCCGAATTAGGTTTTCCTGCAGTTTTCCTAATTCGTAAGGTAAATACCGGAGTAGTATAGACCAACTTAAGACCTTCTGCCGAGGCACCTCTAAAAAGCATTATGCGGGTCACTCTGTAAGCCTGTTGAGGGCCCAGAACAAGAGAGGGATAATAAATAAATAATAAATAAAAAATAAGAAAAAAATGCAAATATGTGCTTGGTATAAAGAGCGTCATTTTCGTTATACAGGGTGGCAAAGCTTCAATTTTGCGTTCTGTCTTATGGTTTGGGATAATCGCTTCAAATTTGATACATTAATTATTTTTTACAATCTCTACAATACCAAAATAGTTAGTCGCGGTATACAGGGTGTTACATTCTCTTTGCCACCCTGTAAACGAAAACGACGCCTTTTAGACCATGCATATAGATATAGGATATAGTTGCATTTTTTCTTATTTTGACGAGTACTATCACCCCCTGAAATATCTGCATGACATTAATTAACAACCTGTACAAAGGTTCAGGTAAAACATTTCTTACTATCAGACCCGACGAACTTCGTAACGCCTATAACTCAAATGTCTTGGTAATTCCAATTCAACGGAGTTGAACATAAGGTTATTTTAGCTTTAAAATTGTGTTCTAGCATTTTTTTGAAAAATAGCAGACGCGTTATTCCTTCGGAAAATTCTGTAGCATTTACCTACAAAATATGCCTCCCGTCACCCGTGTACAGATTTTTACGTCCATGGTCCGTCATTCATTAAACTTGAGTAATTTTTGCGCCTCTTCTTGTCTGCGACGTAAGCGGCGGGTTACACCGTTTACAAGGCCGGCCCTGAAATCCCAATCGCCGGGCAATACAGTGTTCGGTAAGTTATGTGGCTGCTGCAGATAAGAATTAGGCTTTTCAAACAGAACAAACAAAATAATCATTGAGAAAAATCGACCCGCCATTGGAACTAGTAACCGACGCTAACTTTTTTCCAAGCTTCGTACTTATCGAAAAATCCCTGTTCTTCGACATCTGCGCAGAACAGTCGAAGTTGAAGACTTTGTTTCGTATTTGTTTCCATACCGCCATTCTTTCAGATGTAAGGTAAGTTGTCTAATCCGTAGTAGTCAATAATATCCAATGAGCAATAGTGCAACTACTGTCAATATATAAGGTAATTTTATGCGCGATTGATTGATAGGTAATAAAGTATGATAAGTATAAAGCACACAGAAAACATGTTAAAAGCAAGTTGCAAAACAAAAAAAAACTGGTTGAGTACAAGCAGGTAACAAAACAAGGTAGCTGTACAACATTTGATGCAGCAAAATCCTTCTGTTAAAAACAAAATGGAAAATGGCATGACAACAAAATATGTGGCAATCGGTGAATCGCAATTAACTCATATATGGCACATAGATTCTATACTGAAGAGTTGTTGTTAGCAGAATCTCGCCCCCGAGATAGGTAACTTGCCCCACGTCAAACCTACAGTTGAGTCGAGCCGCGCGGTTACCAGCTCAATAATATGTGCACCAGCGTCGATTTTGTATACAGCGTCTTTGTACTTTCAAATTTCTTTCCAGGAAGTTCTAAATCGAAGAGACAAACGTGGAAATCTCACCTTTCCGAGATTACGCCAGTTTCTTGTGAAACGGTTCGGAAAGTATGCGTGGAGGGAATTGGATTTTGAGTTAAATCAAAATCTGCTAATTGCGGCCCCGAATTATCGCGGACGTCCTATTTCGGATATAAACATTCAGGTAATAATTACCTACTTACCGCTTGATTACAAGACTGATTTTACGTCACTTTCAGGATTATATCACCGACATCGTTCTGAAATATCTTCCGAATGGCGTTTCGCCTTGGCAAATGGTAATAATTCCATCCACTAATGTTCAACATTACATTTTATTACGTGTACATCATGCCATAATTAACGGCGGCGTAAACATGGCAGATTTGCTCCCAATCATTCAACCGATGCAATACTCAATTCCGTAACTATCTCCCTACTTTCAGGGCATTTTGCTACAGTTTGTTTCCAGAACCGCCGATAGCAAATTACCTCTGCTGAACGTTGCGAAGAAACCTAAATACGTGCCGCTTCTAAAGGAGCGCTTTCTGGAGGATTTTACAAATCTATGGAACGAGTTCGTGTCGTCCTGTGATCCACTGGAACAAACCGAACTAATTAAAACAAGCCCGGGTTTATTCCAATATCTTGGAATAATGTTAATAACTTGGGTTTCTATATGCAAGGAATGTCGAAAGGGTTACAACGCCGTCAAACAAGATCCCATATCAAAGATGAGATACTTCAATGCAACTTTCGTAAAGGAGACCAATAGGAGGCAACTGACATTTTCGAATTTTCTCAACGCACTTTTCGAAACAATTCACCCGATTAACATTATTAAGGGCGTTCTTAATTGGTGGTACTGGTTGCTACTACTGTTACTAAAGGTTCCCGTATTGATATACCAGGAGCTCATGACGGTATATTCGTGTTACAAAACGGAATATTGCGGATATTCTAATACGATAACCGGTTTTCTGTACGGTTACATTCCGTTATTTTATAACGCCACAAACGAAATATGCTACTACCTGGGATTATTAATACAAGCACCGGCAATTATCTTCGAACAAATCGTTTTCGAACCCGAGACCATACAGACAATTCCGCCGTGCGGAAGAAAAGTTGTTTCGTGGTCCGAACCGGTGAACGTAAACTTCATTCGGAAAATTGCCAAAAGTACGGGGGTAAGCGAAACGGAAATCCTTCTGGCTACCATTAGCACTACAATCGCACGTTACTGTGCGCAAGCTGGTGTGGTCACACCCTGCGAGATTCCCGTAACTATACGTAATGTCAACTCGAACTACATCTTTCTAAGTGGCGACCACGTTAAACCCCAAGATTGCGTCAGTGGCTTAATTGGCTTGCGCTTACCGGTGTTGTCATCGGAAAAAGACGAGACTTTTTTGGAAAATCTACGCGTGGTTAAAGACAATTTCGCAAAGGCGATGGACTCGCAAGCCGTCAGTTACCTACTAACGATTCTACAGACGAAATACGGAACGCTAACGAATTTCCTACCGGCCACCCTCATACAGGTTCTCCTAAGGTACCTCTCGCGGAAGTACACAATTTCCATCACGGAAATTACGAATAATTACAATAATACCACCGTACGGACGACTTGGGGGAAAGAGGTCACCAATGTTATCTACTGGAGACCACCGCAAGCTAATATGAGTAAGACCTGCGTTTATGCGCGACTCGTTGACTCGTTTGTTTTTAGGCATATCTTTGTGCTACAATCAGTATGGGGAGAATATTACGTTAGGCGTAATGTGCGATGCACAACTTCTACCATATCATTCCGTTTTGACGAAGGATTTTCCCGAACATATTGAAGATATTGCCATTTCGGCTCATCTGAACTAGTATCTATTGACCTACCTAATGTCAGATGACGAGCGCATATTATTTAGTATTAATAAATAGGTAGTCTTTGTATGTATCTACCTTTCTCTTTTCCTAAACTCAGAAGAATTCTATTCACAGTACCTTGTTGTACCTACCTATTTTGGAGAAACGGAAAAAAACGTTGCAGTGTTCGCGCACTAGCGGCCAAGTCGCGCCACTGAAAGTTCAAGGCGACCAATCGAGCGCAGACGTCAAGCTTATACAGGGTGTTCATTATGTATAGAATATAGCATACATCTCGGTAAATATCGATTGTATACAAAATTTTTCTATATGAAAGTTGTTTAACATTTTATTTCCCATAATAAGACAACATTTCAAAAAACAAATGAATAACGGAAAACAATTGAATTTTTTTATTTAGCAATACACGTCTTTTATTAGACTCGTTTGATAGAGATTGACGTAACACGTTAGCATCCGTGTAGAAGAAATTAATTTTTATTTCAAGCTTTTTGTGATAATTATGCCACTGCCTTGCATTTAATGGTGAGCATTTTAATAATTTCGTTTGGTCTTCAACGTTTAATAAGAAACATACACGTTCATTTGTTTTATTTTGATGTAGGATATCTTGATTAATGTTGGTGCTCTAATTATAATAAATTTTTTTGAAAAATTTTCTTGAATAAGTGTACTAACATGTTATATCAGAGAAAAAAAATCTCTATCAAATGAGCATAATGAAAAGGCGCACTGCCATTTAAAAAAATTCAATTATTTGTCGTTACTCATTTGTTTTCTGAAATAAAAACAACTGATAATGCTGTCTTATTATGGGAAATAAAACAATTTTTATATAAAAAAATTTTGTACGAGTATACACTCGATATTTACCGAGATATACTATATTCCATACATAATAGGCACCCTGTATAAAAACTAGTCAGTCAGTGCAATTGTAAAATGAATACCGAGCTTGCATTTGCTGTCTGTGGTACCTAGGGAATGCAATACCGGGATCCCGCAGAATTTTTGCGGGATTAATCCCGTACGGAAATGGAGCGGGATCTTGCGGGATTGCGAAATTTATCGACCAAGCTTACTACGGGTACGACGCGATGTTTTCAATTTATTAATAAATCGCGTAAGTGTTAGTGAAACAATAAACTCCTTTTTGAGAATTGAAAAATACGCTAAAAAGGTACCTACTCATTTATTTCATAAATATGAAGTAACTCATTTTTGCGATGCTTATGATTTTCAGCTGTTTACATTCGGAAGCTACTGCGCATGTGCGGTGTTATGCCTACGGTGCAACATATATATCTGTCTTTGTTAGGTACCTATGTTGGCACAAGTGCTCCTTATTGAAAGCAAATGGAAGACTATATCTGTGTATATATGATCTAATGATCTAAGATTATTTCGCACTTTTTTCTTGTTGCGGTTGTTGCAATAAATACGCGTTAACTTGTATGTGTTATTCACTTTCTTGAACAGCCAGTGAGTGCGAAAATCTGATTTATTTTGCTACTATTTAAACGTATGTACCGGTATTTTTTTTTTTTATTTTATTTTATTTTTTTTTTTTTTTATTATACCTCTCTTGTTTTGGGCCCTCAACAGGCATGCGCCCAATTACAGAGTGACCCGCATAATGCTATTTAGAGGTGCCTCTGCAGAAGGTCTTAAGATGGTTTATACTACTCCGGTATTTACCTTACGAATTAGGAAAACTGCAGGAAAACCTAATTCGGAGTAGCCGGTAGAATGCTCGGAACTGGCCTAAGGTAATTTCCATCTCCGCCACAGATGAAAAATTCACCTCAACCCAGGTTCGAACACCCGACCTTCGGATTTATAACCCAATGCTCTTACCACTGAGCCATATTCCTATACATATACAATATGTCGAATTCGTCGATTATTTATAATAACTTTATAGACCGGGAGGCAGCGTACATAGTAACTAAACCATAAGCGACAAAAAATTCGACAATACAGGCTGAAAGTACGTTGAAAACTAATAATAAAATCACTCGTCTGCCAGTCGTAAGTGGCAGCATTAACTTGGGGCGGCGCTGAATAGGTGACTTCTTTAGGTGATCAACTAAATTACCAAATTATAAGGGTGACGGAAAAGATTTGTATCAAGAAATCCCATTTTTTTCCATAGTTTTCGAATATGCTATGGCAGACGATTTCAAGTGCAGCGTTGGTAGCGAAAGACGCCCTCCAATGTAGGGAAAAACACCCCTGAACTAAACCATGAGGACCGTATAAAAATTATACATAAAAAATTCCTCTTTTTGTCCCTACTTTAAAATATATCCTGGCAGACGATATTAAGTGTAGCTTTAATAGTGGCAGACGTCTTAGAAGTTAAAAAATTTAGGTATAGTAAATCCCAGCGAGTGCGAGCGTGTGAGAGATAAGCGCGCGAGAGCACAACGAACAGAGATAGCTATAGATTTACGCACCGCTTGGAGTTACCAAACGAATTAAATTAGGGAAAATAATAAATTGTTTATTTCGCGATAAGATTGTCGGTATTTCTTGAATTCTTCTCAGACTGAGAAACAGAAAACTTGAAGAGAAAAGAAGATAGATCTTCAGCTATCCTCTGACTCCAGTTCCGTTGTCTCTATGGAACATTGATGGATCGATGACTAAAATCGACAAGTTTGTTTTGCTGAAACTTTTTCGGAAGTATGATTTCTTCAAGTGCTCCTAGTCCATCGCCAGTTGTAGATGTTGATTTAATCGATGGATTTTTTTTTGCATCTTTTAAAAGATCTCCGGTAAACCTTTGAGCGATTTTCTGAACACATCCTCGGAAAGATTTGTGCTGTGTCAGCGAGAGAAGTACATCTTACTTTTGACTGATAGTTACCCCTTCCATGAAGGACGCAGAACATGATCGTTGGGGTCAAAATAAGGAAAGATTACAATCCTACTCAATTTCTGTTTCCACTCAGAAGCAGCCTGCAAATTTCATAAAACCACTTCACAATCATAGCTCAAAGCCTCTCTTATAGATTACTTATACGTTCATAGGCAAAAAAGACCTGTTGTGCTTTACTTGGAAGGAAAGTTGTGTTTGCCACATATGAAGATAAGTGCTATAAATTTGTGACAAGGGAAGATGATGTGGTAAAAACTGAATTGTGCTGCAGCCACTAAGAGGCAGATTCTTGAATAATTTACCATCTTGGTAAACTACCAACAAGTAGCGAAGTCATTATTAGCGCTTCCGATATGGATATTGCTGTTATTGCTTTGGGAAATGTAAAATTGACGCTACCATCAAGGTATAGATGGAAGTAGGTCTCTTTTCCAATAACACACAGAAATTCATAAATCTTCGAGAGATGTTCGTGAATTTGGGTGTGGATGTGTGTAACGCGCAGGGTAATGCGTTACCGGGTTCCCACGCATTTACCGGATGTATGACTTGTGTATGGTCCTCATGGTTTAGTTCATCGCAATTTGGGCGAATGCCACCGAAAAATGTCTGAGTTTCTACAATCCGTTGGATTGAAGTGGATGGTGTTGAAGCATCTTGTATAACCAGATTTAAAACATTGACGTTATGGTTATAGATATCATAGATGTCGCTTATGTTCGTATTGTAAAATGTACGTTCGTTGATGTTAGCCAAAATGGCTGTATTGTAACTTATATTTTATGTTAAGTGTATCGGACTAAACAAGCATTAAACTTTTATACTTGATAAATACTCTGTTCCAATAGGTTATGGGCCCAGGGTTTGAGAAAAGTAAAAAGTTGAATAAATGCTGAGAGTAGTCACAAGTGCAATTTGAAGAACACGTGTAGATCCAATTTTTTTTTTTTTTGAGGCCGTAGTTTAAAAGTAGTGATGCGCGCATTCGAATGAAAACTATCGAACTATTCGATAGTCGCAAACCATTCGAATAATTCGATAGTGGACAAGTAATTCATTCGAATGAATTGTCTTGAATGAACGAATTATTTGCAATTGCACACACAGTTCATAAATACTAAATACCTTATGTTACGTTGAAAAATGTAAATATTATTTATTTCTTAATCCAGATGGTCACGGTTTGGGATTGGGAATTATAAATTTTATAATACCTACATAAAATATAAAGCGTCGTTTACTAATTACTTAGTAATTACTCATACCATACGCATTATAAATTTATAAGGCATAAGCAAAGTGAAAAAAGTCGATGATTTACATTTTTATTCGATAGTTGTTCACGAGGTTGTTCATTTATAATTTATATAAGATCCATGTATTTGTATAAGTAATACACATAAAGGAAAAAAATTATTCAAAAAATTCATTCGATAGTGAATTCATTCGATAGTACTTATTACTAAATAGTAATTTATTCGATGGTTTTTTTTTCTCGATAGTTCCCAACACTATAACTAGTTAGTTCAAATTAACACACCACAAGTAATTCCAATATCATTTTATCTTTCAAAAAACTGGCGGATTTAGGATTTGGTCTAGGGAGGGGCGCATACAATTTTTAAAGTAAATATATTTAAAAAAACATACGTTTAAAAATAGAACATTTTTGGCATAATATATTAAACAAACAAGTAATTCTTTATTAAGTAAGAAAAGAACAAACCAGAAAATGGCTAAGTTGCGACCTTTCTTTTTGTCGGCGCAAATCGATTTTTTTCTACTTTTCAAGAAATTTGTCCAATATAGGTATCCTTATGCGATTAGAGCATTGTGCGCAGGTACACCATCTTGTTGAAACCAACAGTTTCCAGAGCTGTGCAAAGCCCTTTTGCAATGGGCTTCATTCCAAAGCCCTCAAATTCCTCTTAGCACAAAAAGGGCTTAAAATTCCAAAGCCCTTTAAAAAAGGCTTAAAGTTACGAAACCTTAAGCTCAAAGCCCTTTGAAATTGAATTGAAATCCTTTTTAAAAATGAATTGAAATCCGTTAGGAAAAGGAATTGGGATTTGGAATTAAAAGAAATTGAAATCCTTGGCAAAGGAATGGAATTCCTTCGCAAAAGAAATTGAAATGCTTTATGAAAGGAAACCGAACTCCTTTAAAGAACGAACTAAAG